AAGCCAGTGCATAAAACACATTTAAAAACCATTTAAAACAATTTCTACAATATTACAACATTATTATTATTAAGTGATCTGGATGTTCCGAATTGATCTTCCATAAAGATGGCGTATAATGCTGTTATAGCCACTCAGTGCCATCTGTTCCACTTGGCGCTGTCGTTCTTTCTCCCAGGGCCAAATGAAGATGGTACAGTAGTGGCGGCTCCTACTCAAATGCCTGGCGGAAGAGCTCCGTCTTACAGACCCCGCGGAATAACTTCAGCCGACTCAGACTCTTGCCCTCTGGAACAGCAGAGAACATGTCTTTGCCCTCTTCTGTGGGATAGCTTCTATGTGCTATCATGATGGGCTACGGCTCAGTGGTAGAGCGTTTTCTTGGCATGCAGATGGCACCCAGGTTCAATCTGCAGCTAAAAAGTCCATGTGGTAGATGATGTGAAGTCTCCAGCTGAGAAGCTGGAGAGCTGCTGCCAGTCTGAGTAAACAACAGTGACCTTGCTGGACCAACGGCCCAGTTTAGGACAAGGCAACTTCTTGTGTTCCTCCTACCCCATGTTTTCCAGGCTAACCCTTCTTAGTTCCTCCAGCCTTTCCTCATAGGACTTGCTTTCCAGGTCCCCAATTATTTTTGTTATCCTCCTTGGAAACCATTCCAGTTTGTTTGCATAGCACCCGGACACAACACTCCAGACAAGCTATAACCAGCACAGTGAGCCAGTTTGGTGTAGTGGTTAAGTGCGCAGACTCTAATCTGGGAGAACCGGGTTTGATTCCCCACTCCTCCACTTGCACCTGGCTGGATGACCTTGGGCAAGCCATAGTTCTGGCACAGCTGTTCTTGAAAAAGAGCCGTTTCTGTCAAGAGCTCTCTCAGCCCCGCCTACCTCACAGGGTGTCTGTTGTGGGGAGGGGAAGGGAAAGGAGTTTGTAAGCCGCTCTGAGACTCCTTCGGGTAGTGAAGGGCAGGGTATAAATCCCATCTCCTCCTCCTCTTCTTCTTCACAGTGTAGAATGGAACGGAACCGTTGTTTCTCGACTATTTCAAACTCCTTTCAGCTTCAGAGTGAACAAAAAAATTGAAAAGTTAGAAGTCAATAGGCTGCATGGGACTACACAGGGGTAGGTCCACACAGGAGGAGTGTTTCTTTGGGGTGGGCGGCAGAGTGGTTATAAGCAAGAAAAGTGAAAAATCAACCCCTGCCCACCGATGGAAACAACTGATAAGAACTGTGTTTCCTGTCTCAGCAAGACTTTTACATCCCATAACCAACCAGCAAGGAACAAGGGGATGCTGAAATTCTGGGCAATAGAAAGTTGCTTCGTACATTTTAGATTTCACATTTTAGATTTCTGTGTAGGGAAAATTATATGCAAATTACGAGCAGAGTGTTGTATATCATGATTGCATTTACCTCACTCGTCCCACACGGACACATGAGATCTGTGTGCAATTTGCATGGGTTTCCCCCTCCCCCTCTTCCAAAGTACTTTGAGTTGCCCAATGCACAGATGTTAAACAGGTGGAGCTTTTCTTGATGGAGAGGTAAGTGCTAAAGTTCTGTGCATTGGAATACTCCTGGAGATCCAAGAGAACCGTTAAACCAGAATGGCTGCCTTCCAAGTAACTTTCATTAGGAGCAGCACAAAGACGGAGTGTGGACTTACCAGATCTTTCCCCTAGATATTCCCTTTGAACTCCCCCCCCCACACCATTTAGGGTTGCCAGCTCTGGGTTGGGAAATATCTGGAGATTTTGGGGGTGGAGCCTGGGGAGGTTAGGGTTTTGGAGAGGGGAGGGGCCTCAGTAGGGTGAAACGCCATAGAGTCCACCCTCCAAAGTTGCCATGTTTTCCAGGGGGATTGATCTTGGTCATCTGGAGATCGGTTGTAATAGCGGGAGGTCTCCAGGTGCCAGCTGGAGGTTGGCAACCTTGCCTATGGTAGGCATCAAGGCTGCCGGTTTTACTGGCCTTTATGGTGACATGAACTGTTCTTTATGCTTGTGCACGGCCTCAGGAACCTTAGGCCTCGGCAATCTATGAATTGTTGTGATCATTCTGTCCCACGCTGGAGCATTCCCAAGAGTTTCTGCTGTTTTCTGCTCTTTGGCGATTAGCACATCATGGATGGAGAAAGCCTTTTTTTGGGGGGGGAGAGCAAACAAGCCTTTTTGGTGGTGTTTGCTCAATGTCGCTATCCATGAAAGCCATTAAATCCTTAGGCCCGTCTCTTGGCTCCTTAGCAACGTCTGAGAGAACAGGTGCCTGCCTCGGCCATTCAGTTAACGGTTCCCTGCTGCCGAGCCGTACCTTAGCAGCTGACGGAGAGGTTTTTTAAAAAAAACTGTTTAATTTCATAAAATGCAAATGCCTCTTCAAACAAAAATGTCATCTGACGTTGCCAAGAGATGCTTTGAAAAATCAGTGGAAGCTGTAATCCCGTGCCTCTCCTGACCCAGAAAGAATGAGCCCTGTGCAAATAATGGTTATTGGTAGGATCACTCTAAAGGCATTTGTTAAATTGCACTCCTCGCCATTTCTGTCCCCTCGTAGGGATGCCATCCTCCAGGTGGGACCTGGGGATCCCCTGGAACTACAGCTCATCTCCAGACCACAGAGATCAGTTCCCCTGGAGAAAATGGCTGCTTTGGAGGGTGGACTCTGTGGCATTGTGCCCCACTGAGGTCCCTGTCCTCCCCAGGCTCCACCCCCAAATCTCCAGGAGTTTCCCAACCTGGACCTGGCAAACCAATCCCCCATCCCCTGCTCTTGACTGGGGGGACCTGGCAGCCCTATACAATGTCAAAATTGTATTAATAATTGTAGTTGCTTTAAATGAATTGTAGTGTTTATTGCTGTATTCTGTTCCTAGCCACCTCAGACTTGCCAGCGGAATAATGAACACAGCAACGGTATGCAACCTGATTAAAGAGTCAGGAACTAACAAGGAGTTAGGAACTAACATACTTGATAGGAAAGAGAAGAGACAGGGATAGGGTTCTAACTACATCTCTAGCTGAGAGAGAGAGAGAGAGAGAGAGAGAGAGAGAGAGAGAGAGAGAGAGAGAGAGAGTAAGACTGAGTGTGGCACTTCCGTGAAGAAGGGGGAAATTGCCCTAAGACGAGCTATCTGGAGACAGAAAAGGAACAACACTCAACAGGAGACAGAAGGTTCTCTCCTCGCTATCCTATTTAAATGTCTTCTCGCTGCCCCCTTGAGTGTCTTTGTCTCTTCTCTTTGTACACCAGATGTATAGCCGTGTTGGTGTGAAGAACAAAGTTTTAGTCCAGTCAGGGCCAGCTCACTCACTAGGCGAACTAGGTGCTCGCCTAGAGTGTGCCGGCCCTTAGGGGCACCAAACTGGCACCACCACCACCCCGCTGTCCTGGTTCAGCTGCAAACACTACTGAGTTTTAAACATGTTATGATCTTTCTGATGATACAAACACCAATTCCACCAAAGAACTTAGCCCTCTGGGCACAGAAGGGTCACTCAGCTGAGTCAAAGAAGAATCTAAGTAGGGGGGCTATTACATAAGGACACTCAAGTTGCAACTGACTTATGGCAACCCCAGCAAGGAACTGTCAAGGCAAGCGAGAAGCAGAGGTTGTTTGTGATTGCGAGTGCCTTTCTTTGCAGAGTCTTCCTTGGTGGAAGCCAGATGTGCAAAGCAGGCAAAGTTACAAAAGCAAAAGTGAGTGTTAAGAGCATGGGTGCCAGGGGATTCTGTGTATGAGAGGAGTGAGACCCATCCCTGTGTGGGATGAGTTTAGTTCTGGGGTCTGAAGGAGAGACCTTCTTGTGTGTGATATGAGAGTTATAAGTGCTGTGTCTGAAAGAAAGTGACAAGCAGTTCTGTGTTGAAACAGTTATAAGCTGAAGCTGAGTGTCTAGGAAACAGTAAAGATTATATGGACTGGGAGGAAAAAGTGTTACAAAGTTACCTAAGGAAAAATCCCTGTCAGTAGAGAGCAGACTGTGTGTTATACCTACTTTACTAGTTACATGGTTCTACCCTCGTATTTATGCTTTCTTTAAATAAATCCTATTTCGTTCAAGTATACCAGCTCTGGAAAGAATCCTTCCTCAGACCACATAGTTCCTCGAAAGCTTAAACCCTCGATCCACCTACCCTGTGATAGAAATAGTAAAGCATAAAGGTTTGGAAAGCCTTATAAATTTCCTGGTGGCAGCCGGATACACATAATAAAATAAAACCTAAAGAACACTTTAAAGGGAAACCAGACCTCCCCAGTTAAGGGGTCATCACAGCAACGAGTGCCTTTCTTTGCAGAGTCTTCCTTGGTGGAAGCCAGATGTGCAAAGCAGGCAAAGTTACAAAAGCAAAAGTGATTGTTAAGAGCATGGGTGCCAGGAGAACGGGAGGTCCAGGGTACAGATCCAATTAACGGGTCCGAGCCATGGTGGGGCGCCAGAAGGGATCCTCACGTAGGGTGCAAAATAAGCTGGGGGCGGCCCTGAGTCCAGTGGCACCTTTACGACTGACAAAGTTTAATTCTGGGTGTATAAGCTTTCGTTTACATGCACACGAAAGCTTACACACAGAAATAATTAAACTTTGTTGGTCTTAAAGGCTCCACTCGACTCAAACTTTGTTCTTTGTACATGAGACATTGTCTTTCCCAAGAAGTCTAAATAGAAAAATAATCCCAGTAAATAAATAATATTTTGTGGGTGAGGCTTAATCTATATAAATGAGAGCGCAGCTAGCAGGGCCTGCCGGTAGAGGCCACTGACTGTGTAGAAGTCAACTCTGTTAATGTTATTGTATTGATTAGAACACAGTGTATTTAAAACCACTTTGTTAATCGAAGGAGGGAGTGCCGTGTTCTATGAGGAGAAAAGAGATCTGTCCATTTTGTTGGGAGGAGCGAGAGACCTGGAGACTCCAGCAGCTCGGAAGCACCGTTTGCCCTGCGCGGACCCCAAGAGATGGATGACATGTCTTTTTTTTTTTCTTTTCTCTTTCCAGCTTCGGGCCTCTCGTCTTCTCCGTCGACCCCAACCCAAGTGACCAAGCAGCCGACATTTCCCCTCGAGTCCTATAAGCATGAACCCGAGAGGCTAGAAGCCCGGCTTCACTCGTCCTCGTCTCCCCCAGATACGGGCCAGAGGTTCAGCCTACCCCCAGGACAGAGCGTGGCCAAGCCTCCCACTCCCGCACCCACCCTCTGCACTACCTCAAAAGCAGTAAGTACGGGCAGTTTGCTCCCCTGTGTGCTGCTAATACCCTGTATTGATATAGTGGAGAAGCGCTGCAACTGCTGCATCTTGGCCTAATCCTTACAACAGCTTTGTAACGTAGGTACGCATTCCCCTACTGCAGCTCGAGGTTGAAAGAGAGAAAGCGTCTTGCCTGAGGCCACCGGGAGAGTTTATGGCGGAAGTGAGATTTGATTGGTAGCTCAGTCTGTAGCCAGCTTGGTGTAGTGGTTAAGTGCGCGGACTCTAATCTGGGAGAACCAGGTTTGATTCCCTACTCCTCCACCTGCAGCTGCTGGATGACCTTGGGCAAGCCATAGTTCTTTCAGAGCTGTTCTCTCAAGAGCAGTTTCTGTCAAGAGCTCTCTCAGCCCCACCTGCCTCACAGGGTGTCTGTTGTGGGGAGGGGAAGGGAAAGGAGATTGTAAGCCACTCTGAGTGAAGGGCGGGGTATAAATCCAATCTCCTCCTCCTCCAGCCTGCAACTTTCTCCTTCCAGGGAGATGCTCCGTTTTTTGGTAAGTTGGGCATGGAGGTCCCCTGGAATTACAGCCGATCTCCAAAGGACAGCGATTAGGTCTGCTGGAGAAAATGGCTGCTTTGGAAGGGGGGCCCCTTAGGACGTTATATCCCACCGAGGTCCCTCCCTCCGTCCCTTCCCCAAACCTTCTCCTCCCCAGGCTCCGTCCCCAAACCCCCAGGGATCTCCCAACCCAGTCTTGCCAGTTCTGATTTTTGGGCTTTTCCTCCTTTGTGTTCTTTCATTAGGACACAATGTTCTTGGTACAACTGAAGGGGGAGCCACGTGCTAGTTTTTGTGAGCCATTATAGCTGGAGTTGCCAACCTCCAGGTGGTGTCTGGGGATCTCCTGGAATCACAGCTGGTCTCCAGGCAGTTCCCCTGGAGAAAATGGCTGCTTCGGAAGGTGGACTCTATGGTATTGTACCCTGTTGAGGTCCCTCCCCTCCCCAACCTCCTTCCTTTTTTTAATTTACCGAAAGGGGCTGCTGAGGCCACATATTCAAAGAGGAATCTGACCTGTAGTGAAAGGGATTTTTACCCCTCTCCCCCTGTGCTGTTTTCCTGATTAACTTCACCCCCCGCCCTGGCCTGTTTTACCTCTGCTTTGGAAAACAACTCCTGGTTCTCATTCACAGTTTCCCCCCATACAAAACGTTCCTTCAAATAAAAACTCCTCGCATTCAAATAAGCAGCACTTTAGGGAGAAAGATTCTAATCTAGCTCTGCAACAATGCTAGCTTTCTATGTTGAGTGTGCTCCTTCTAAGCCGTGGAGTCTTGTGAGCAAAAATTCTACTTTGTGAGCTACTGGCATTAAAGTTGTGAGCGAGTGATTTGGCTGCTGCATCAATTAGCTTGCTCTGGAGCCATCCCTTCCTGAGCTAAGACAAAAACGTGTGAGCCGGAGGCTAAAAAACTGTGAGCTAGCTCACACTGACTCAGCTTAGAGGGAACACACTGGTGACACCCCAAAAGCAGGAAGGTGAGGGAGCTGAAACAGATTTCCAGGAATCTTTTTTTTTTTTAACTTAGAAGTAAAATAAAGTTGGATACAGAGCTGTACAAGTTCATCTTCAATTCTATAAGCAAATCATACAGACATACAGGAATCAGTTATGTAGAATAAGCAAACACAAACCCGTCTGCTTCATTTGCCAAACTCATTCCTCTCTGAATTTGTATTACCTATCCTTGGAACAAAATATCTGGGTATTTCCACCCCTTACTGGTTCAGGAATAATGAAGATACGTTTGCCAGCTTCCTTTCCTTTCCCTTTCCTTTTCTGCAGCTTGGGTCCCGACACCTTTAACACCCACATGACAGGCAGAAATTCAGCAGGTGCAGCTTTTAGTCAACAGGTTGGTGTAGTGGTTAAGAGTGGCGGACTCTAATCTGGAGAACCAGGTTTGACTCCCCACTCCTCCACCTGCAGCCAGCTGGGTGACCTTGGGTAGGTCATAGTTCTCAAAGACCTGTTTTCTCACGAGCACTGTTGTGGGGAGAGGAAGGGAAGCCGCCCTGAGACTCCAAGTGAAGGGTGGGGTATAAATCCAATCTCTTCTTCTTCTGGTGCTGAATTTCTGCTTGTCCGGGAGTTGCTAAAGGTACAGGTATTATGCCAGACATAAATCTGTATAATATCAAATGCACCACTAGAGGGAGCAAAATATATGCAGAGCAGGAAAAAACACCCAAAGAAACAGGAATTTACAACTGAGGAAAATGAGGATGTGGAATAGCCCATAGTAGCAGCTGTTGAGTCTCCCACTTTGCTGGTGAGCTGAAAGGTAACTCCCCCAGAATGCAAACAGGCAAGAGCAGGGGTCATTTGAGGCCAGAGCGCACTGGAGCACTGCTCCGGCAGCCCAGGAGCTGACACAAATGGCGGCGGCGGCAAGCCCCACCCCCAGCTCCCCGCGCCAAACCACTGTGGCCCGTGGGAGGCCGGAGGAGGCCCGTTGCGGTCTCCTGGGGCCCACGCTACTGTGCTGCGGCTCATGGGAGGCCTGAGGAGGCCTGTCGCTGGCATCCCTGGGCCCGTGCTGGAGCACTGCGGCCCGTGGGAGGCCTGAGAAGGCCCGTCGCCGGCCTCCCAAGGCCCACTCTGAAGTGCTGCGGCCCGTGGGAGGCCTAAGGAGCCCCGTTGCCGGCCTCCCTGGGCCCGCACTGAAGCACTGCGGCCCATGGGAGACCTTGATCACAGCCTGGGGGAGGTCTTGATCGTGGTAAGTGAGGGATCCGCGGGG